CAATATGTAGAAGTTAAGTGTAGCAGGTAGTTAATGCTATTAATATTTTTTTGAGATTTCAGAAACTAATTTCTTTTTTCTTGCTTGATAGAACTATAAAAATCTGTACTCTGCTTTCCCCCAGTGCAGACAATGCTGCATTGGAAATCTTTGTACAAGCCTCTCTCTTTCCAGTGTGATGTGCAGAAGAGAGGTTGTGGCGTCAAAGGGCCTCAACTTTCAGCATTGGGATAGTTCCTGCCAAATCGCCCTCTGAACAAAATAATCATACTGATTTACACTTCCCCTGAAAGGACAGAAAGCTACTCATTTACCCACCCCGTCTCAGTCAGTACTGAAACTCAGTATATTGCCAGCCTGATGGGCAAACAATGCCATGGTATTGTGTTAGTGGGTAGACCATGGATTTCTCAGGTTTACTAGACATTTGCATTTCTTGGCCTGTGGATTCTGTGTTCCTGTTCTTTGCCTTTCTTTCCCCTGTGTTATTTGACTTTCTGTTATTAGCTTTTGGAAGGTGTCATATCTTTGTTTGCCTTCTTCCCAGGCCCTTTCCTCATTCCTTGCTTTGTTTTTGGCTATGACTGCCTTCTGACATACTGTTTATTTCTTTATTGCCTGCCTTCCCAGCACCATTAGAATAAGAACCAGGAGGGCAGGGATTTTGTCATTTGTTCAGTCTAATGTTTCCAACACCTGGGACAGTGTCTGGCACATAATAGTTAATGGTTAATGGTTCAATGAATGAATGAAGTGATTAATAACCTTTATCTGTTATTTGTTTTTCAAACATTTTCCCATGTTTGCACTTGCTCTTTAGCTTTGTTTATGGTGAGTTTGATCATGTAGAAAAATTTAACTTATATGAGATCATATCTATTAGTTTTTTCACATATGACTTTTGAAGTCTACAGTTTGCCTACCCCCTTTTTACCCCTTTATTCCCTTCATTCACTTCTCCCAACTCCCACTCCCCACCTCTGCAAACCACCAGTCTGTTCTGTTATCTATGAGCTTGTATGTTTGTTTGTTTTAAATTCTACACATGAGAGAGATCATATGGCATTTGTCTTTCCCCGTGACTTCTTAGCACCGTGTTAGCACTTAGCACTGTTTTAGCACTTAGCACTGTGCTCTTGAGGTCCACCCGTGTTGTCACAAATGGCAAGACTTCATTCTCTTTTTATGGCTGAATGATACTCCATTATATATACATGTCCATTCATCTTTGGTGCCTTATCTTGGCTGTTGTAAACAATGCTACAGTGAATAAGGGTGTGCATTATTGTTCTTCCAGTTAGTGTTCTTGTTTTCTTCAAGTAAATACCTAGAAGTAGAATTGCTAGATCATATAGTAGTTCTATTTTGAAGAATCTCCATACTGATGATTAGTGATATTGAGCATCTTTCCATGTGCCTGTTGCATTGCCTTTCGCTAAGTTGTGTCCAACTCTTGTGACCCCATGGACTGTAGCTTGCCAGGCTCCTCTGTCCATGGTATTCTCCAGGCAAGAGTATTGGAGTAGGTTGCCATTTCCTTCTCCAGGGGATCTTCCCAACCCAGGAATTGAACCTGGGTCTCCTGCATTGTAGGCAGATTCTTTACCAACTGAGCTACAAAGGAAGACCTCATGTACCTATAGGCCATCTGTATATCTTCTTTGGAAAGATCTCTGTTCAAATATTCTGCCCACTTTTAAATGAAATTCTTTTTTGCTTTTTGACTTCTTTATACATATTTAGATCATAATCAGAAGAAAAGAAAGTCAGTGAAAGCCTGAGAAAAAAGGAATGAGCAAGCACATACACAAGAAGTAGGAATGGGTAGTATCCTAGAATCCAAATGAAAAGAGTTTTAAAAAGGAGGCAGTAAACTTGATTAAGTGTGATGAATGGGTCCATTCATAGTAAAAGATAAAAGACATAAAACACAAGAACAGAGAGAATGAGAGTAGAAACTTACTTTAGAACATAAAACAGACAGACAGTAGAGTTAGAGATTTTGAGGTTAGAGATTTTAGAGGATGGAAAGAAAATTCTTAATGAATATGAAGTTTTCTTTTGAGGTGATAAAAGTATTTTGGAACTAGATGAAGCTGGTAGTTCCATATTATAGTGAATATACTAAATACCACTTTATTGCTCACTTTAAAATTAATACACTATGTGAATTTAACCCCAGTTCTTTTTAGAAAAGACCATATACTGAGGTACTGAAATTTAAGAACACCAGAGATAAAGAAAAGATTCTGAAAATTGCCAGGGAGAAACAAAGGATCTCATACTGTATTATTAATCATAATAAACTAAATAATATAGTGATAAATAAACCCTGAAATCATAACAGCTTAATTCAGCCATTTACTTTTTTTTTTTTTTTTTGCTGTGTCACAGGCTTGTGGGATCTTAGTTCCCCAACCAGGAATTGAACCCAGGGCACGGCAGTGACAGCCCAGAATCCTAACCTCTAGGCCACCAAAGTGAAAGTAAAAGTGCTAGTTGTTCAGTCATATCTGACTCTTCGCGACCCCAGGGCCTATAGCCCACCAGGCTTCTCTGTCCATGAAATTCTCCAGGCAAGAATACTTCTCCAGGGGTCTTCCCCACCCAGGAATCAAACCTAGTCTTCTGCAGTGCAGGCAGATATTTTACCATTTGAGCCACCCAGGAAGCCCACTAGGCCACCAGGGACCTCACAAATATTTCCTTTTCATTTATGCTACATGTCCATGGTGAGGGAGAACATTCTGTTCCATATTGTTACTCAGGAATGGAGATTAATTTGAACACTTTGTTTCTAGAGTGGGAAAGGAACAAGTGTAGAAAAGTCCTGCTCTCTTTTAAATGCTTCCGCCTTGGCTAGAACCAATCACATGGACCTTCTTCAGTTAGGGACTTGCAATGTGCAGTCTTCTCAGGTGCCCAGAAAGGTTAGGCAAACCAGGTGCTGCTGAGCACAAGAAATCTCTACCACGCATACTGAGGACCAAGGGTCTGACTGCCAGTAGACTTACCTTCCAATTTGAAGCTAGAAGACAGTGAAACTTTTTTTTTTTTTTTTAAATTCTGAATGACAGTTTTTCCTGTGAAGTTATGTATCTGTCAAACCATCAGTCAAATGTGAGCATAGAACAGTAGCATTTTCAGAGGAGCAGAGTTACAAAGCATTTACCTTCTATCAATCTCTTATCCAGAAATTATCAGAGGATATGTTACACTAAAATAAGAGAATAAAATAGGAAGAGGAGGACTTTCCTGGTGGCGCGGTGGAAAAGAATCTGTCTGCCAATGCAGGGGACATGGGTTCAATCCCTGGTCTGAGAAGATTCCACATGCTGTGGAGCAACTCAGGCCATGTGCCACAACTACGGAGCCCAAGCGCTGCAACTACTGAAGCCTGTGTGCCTAGAGCCCATGTTCCACAAGAGAGGCCACCGCAATGAGAAGCCCATGCACCGCCACTAGAGTGTAGTCCCCACTCTCTGCAACTAGAGAAAGCCTGCACACAGTAACAGAAGACCCAGTGCAACCAAAAACAAATAATTAAAAGCAATATTTGGAGTCTGGGAGCATGGGATTCTGCACAGGATATAGTTCAGGCTGGAGCAGGAAGGTGAAAGGACTAGGGGAAGGGAGAGACAGGAATATTTGATAGATTCCTGGTATGTTTGATGATATTTAGAGTTTTAGGGTTCTGTAAGAACTTGGGCTGTGTTTGAGATATATTTTTTAAGTTGGCAAAGCAAAAGAGGACATTATAAGTTCTAGAAACACTAAATGTATAAGAAGAAAAATATAATTATGGCATATAACTCAGATGCAGATAATAGTCATAAATTCTGATTGCAGATGGACAAAATGTAACTCTTACTGAGAATTAGAATATGAGAGCTTAGTCATCTGTAAGAGATTATCAGTAAATAATGCCTAAAATGGAAAAGTTAAGAAATAGCAGTATATTACTTAGAAATGTGAATGTAAATACCAAAAGAAATGACTAAAAGCTAAAAGTTGTTGTCTGTGGGAAGTGATTTTTCAGGAATGGAAAGGAGTAAAACAGGCTGAGTAAAACATCTTATATTATATATCTTGTATAATGCCTTTTGAAATTATCTAAATTTATGACTTTGTCTTTTCTTTTTATCAAGGAGGTAGGAGCAAACAGTGCCACATGCCACACAGAGCCTATATGAAATGAAAATTATGAGTGATCTCAGAGCTGTTTCAGTGGTTGGGTGATAGTTATAGACCAACTTGCAGTGGGTTGAAGGGTAGAAGAATAGAGAAATTATTTCAGATATTGCAAAAGTGTAAATTGAAGGAGACCAAGTGACCTACATCATCAGATAATGGGATATACAGAATTAGATATATTATCCTCCTGACTGAAAAGGTAGAATATGAAAATCCAACTTTAAATAAATGATAAAGAAACTACACTATACATTTACAGAGAATGAATGCCCCATAGAAATTTTTTTAAATTTATTTAAATAATTATCTCTTCTAAAATGATTTATTTTACTGAAACATGTCATACAGACATCTCTGCTAAATTTTATCAATAGGGAAATGTAAGCTGTTGGTATGATTTGTATTCTTTATCTAAATGAAATACCTTCCTAGAATTCCTTTATTTCAAGTTAATATTGTTGATTTAAAGAGTGTTGCTTTGTTTTTTCTGAGTCTTTTAAAAAGTGCAAGGCTATAACAATAAGGTGAAAAAAAGATTTTTAATAATAAAATAAGGCAAAAATTAATGAAAACTGAAGGCAGATTTTTTTTTCTTACTCTCGGGTTTCTGCATTAACCTGATTCCTCTAGTATAGTTCAAGTTCTCTTAGTTCCCCCTTCCAGGTTCAAGTTTTTGTTCAAGCCTAGTCATGGGAGTAATGCTATCATCTTTAAATTTGGTCATGGAATGTGTTACACTGCCCTGCTCAGGGAAATGCTTGCTGCTCAGTTTGGGCTTGGATAGTAACGTTTATTTTCTTTGGCAGAGAAGCTGATCGTCGAGGGGCACCTAACCAAAGTAGTAGAAGAGACAAAGCTTTCAAAAGGTTGGTTTTCTGTGGGATTTCTGTGGCATTTTTTGTGGGTTTTTACAACTCTTGGATAATGAAGGTTAGTGTACATTTCCAAGGTCATAGCACTTTAACCATAAATTTATGTCTTATAGCTCACAATCCAGTAACAGTACCAGATAATAATATAAAACAGTTGGAGTTCTGTCTTAAGAAGAATATGTTCATTGGAAGATTTCTTTTTAAAAGGGTATATATGTGTGGGTTTTTTTTAATGCTTAGAATAGGTTTCGTTAGCTACTAAAGATTTGTTGTGATCTCTGTCTCACTTCCAGCATTATTTTCAGCTTTGATATAAAATTTTTAATCAAATAAAGTGTAAACTTGTTTGAAACAGATGAAAAATGTTTTCAGTTCTCTTTTTCTAGTTATTGTACGTTTAATATTTGTTATGATATTTAATATTATCTTAATTGCTGGCATCTCAATTTGATTTAAACAAAAGTGATTATGTAGAACCTTATATTTTATGATGAATAGTCCTATAATTGCTTGAAGTAATTTATTCTGTTAATTATTTTCTATAAAAATTGTCAGACCTTAGTAAAGAAAAGTAAGTTTTAAAGCATCATGTTGTCAAGTCACTTTTATGTGTAGGGAAATTGGGCAAATAAATTTAGTGGAATATGTTCATTATTCATTCTAGGACTTTTATCAGGAGAACATGTCAATATAAAATTTAAAACTAAATTCACAATCATTTGGGTCATTAAAACAATGAATAATAAAAGGTTGCTGTTCTCAGTTTCATTAATTCTGTTTTATGACAGTAACTGGATCCATTTGGCTTTTAAAAATATTTAAAAGGATAGTGTTATCCCAACTATCTGGTGGCTTCCATTTGGAATTTTGTGCACGGCACATGCCATATTTGGGGAAAGAATGCATAAAATATGCATCACTAATATTGTTCTGGCAAACAGGCATTGAGTTTCAGAACAGTGAGCTATTTTTAGTACGTATGGCAATTTATTTCATCTTATTAAAGTGAGATGAGAACAGATTTTAAAATAGCTTTTACTTCACCAACTAAATACCTTTTCAGATTAGTTGGTTAAATAGCCAACGCTTTGATGTAATGTAGCCTTAAAAAAATCAGTGCTGCTTTTAATTAAAGATATTAAATTAATTTTAATTAAAGATTTAATTAAAGGTATCTTGCTACCTTTGTGCTTCTGTTTAATGCATTATAAGTTAGAATTTATTTCCTTGAAATTACATAATGTCATTATTGAAAAAGAAAATGTTATGATTTCCTTTTGAAATCTGGCTATAAAATATATATTGAAAACTTTAAAGAGCATGCTTAACAATTTACTAGCAGTTTCACTTCTGAGTTTTTATCTTAAAAAGGAACAAATTGAAAAAAAAAGAACAAATTGGACAGATGTACAAGGATGTTTGTACTGTTTTAAAAGCAAAAAGAAAACACAAGCCTCCAGTAATAAGGATATTTATTAAATAAATTATAGCAAGTGTGTCCAGGCAAGTGAATAGAATACATCCTTTAAGAATGGTAATACAGAAAGTTCCCTGGCAGCCCAGTAGTAAGGACTCAGCACTTTAACTGCCAAGACCTGGGTTCAGTCCTTGGTTGGGGAACTAAGATTCTGCAAAGCCTAGTGGCACAACTGAATAAAAAAAGGGGGGAAAGAATGAATGCTAATACAGATAAAAGTTTTATATACCCAGAGATTTTTGTCAGCTGTGAGCATTTTACTGGCACTAACCACAGTTGGCATGCAGAGGTATATTAATCCTGTAACAAACCAACATGGCTGAAATAAATTACCTTTTAAATGCTTTATATCTAGCTATAAAGTATTTTCTTTTGGAATTGGCTGGATTATTTTATTTTTTAAATACTTTCACTGGTGATGTTTTTAATAGAATTTTCTGCATTGAAAAATATCAGTTGCTAGAAATTGCCAGTTACTAGTTGTTACAAGTCTTGGTGGTATTCATGTTTCCTTCAGGTATTTCACCCAATGCCCATGCCTTCTGTTTAAGCCCTGACTCAACTTGCAGTAATTTTATGTTTATGGTAGATTTAAAGATAGCAGTAGGAAAAAAACAAGAATTTGTCAAACTGGCTTTTAATTTCCAGTTCTACCAGCCACTGGCTTTGTGCCCTCAGGCAATTTACTTTAGTACTTTAAACCTCAGTTTCCTCATTTATAAAATGGCATAGACAGTATATAACTTACAGGGTCTTATGGAAATTTAATGAAGTACTGCATAAGCAGTAAGCAGGAAGCACCTTTCTGTTAGCAAATGTTAGTTAGTTCTTCTCTCCCCCCTTGATTCTTGACCTTTCTTTCTTTGCAAATAATGGTTCCAGTTATTAGAACTGGCCTATATTTGTTTTGCCCATCCGTTGTTATGTCTGCTTGAAGATATAGTGAAAACAGTCACCTTATGGTAGACTTGCCAGTTTGGGAGCAATTTGGTATTGATATTGGTAGCTGTGCTTCTGTTTACCCCTCTTATACATATTATTGCTATGCATTTTAATAAGTAAGTACTGCAGAAAAAAATCAACTGGTGCTGTGGTTGATGGGGTCGCAAAGAGTCAGACACAACTGAGCAACTGAACTGGACTGAGTGAATTTTAATACAGGGAAGTTGGGTGCTGCTTCATAGCTGAAGAGTAGAGGTTTTAAATAGTAGAGATTCTTGTCACTCGTTTGCTGTGTCCTGTGTTTCATCTTGAATAGATTTGATTTGCCTCCATATAATAACTGTAGTGTCAGACACAACAATGATGGCTCATGACTTGACTTGGAGTAAACTGTGTCTTTAATCATCTCTTTTTGGAGCACCTCCTACATACTGTGCATTGTTCTGTGGACTGAGGATATAGCAGTTAACAAAACAGACAAAGATTCCTGCATTCATGGAGCTTATATTCTAAGATCTTAATGGAAACCTCTAAGGCAATTTTACCTTCCTAGCTGCTGTTCCAGATAGGAAATAAAAGTTGTTTGTAAGCCAGAAGAATATGTCTGAAAATACATTCCTCTTGGTTTACCTTGATATCTTGATCATAAAATTGCCAAGAATATTGAAATTAAAAGAGTCTTTTTTGTCTTTTCCTTTCTGTTCCCACAGAATGGTTTCTTTTCTTTCTATATATTGATAAGATGTATTCACCTCCCTTATTTGAGACTGTAACTTTGTGATCAAAACTAGTACATTCAGAAATGTCTAACTAGAACACACTGTGAATGCACACTAGAGGTCTCAGATTAGATTCCCGTGGGCCTCAGCGATCGGTGACTTCATTTCTAATCCAAGCTCATTGTCTCTCAGCAGTTGGTCTTTGATTAGAAATGGCAGTGAGAAAAGATGCAAAAAGCCTCTTATAATCTATCACTCATTACACAAATTAAGCCACAAATTTAGGCTATTCTTATATGGAATAGCCATAATAAGTTATATTTCAATATTGTATTATTTTGACAGTGATGGTTTTAGATATGTTTCTGACTACTTCTCAGATGAAAAATATCTCTTGATTTAGTTGATTATGAAAACAATATATGTTCACTCTAATTTTTCACACAGTTTATGACAGTGTGAAGTTAGAAAGTAAATGTGCATCCCTAAAATAGTAGTGAGTCTATCTTGAACGTTTTCCATTCGGTAATGAACAATGCTGCAGTGAACATCCTTATGGATATATGCTATATGTTGCCTATTTCCTTAGGAAAAAGTACTATAAATGGATATGTACATTTACATCTTTGATACAGATTACCAGAAACAGTATAGTCAAGTGCATAACATTGTAAAAAGTATATATCTACTGAATTTATCATCTCACTGAGGAAATAAGATATATGTATATACATAGAATGCTATAAAATAGAACACGATTAATGGTAAAAAACTTATATCCCAGAGAAGATACAGTAAAAAAAGGAGCAGCATGCTGGAGAAATGAACACTTCCTTAGAAGTGATGGGCTTAAGCTATATCTTAATATAGATTGAATAGGCCAAGTAGTGAGAATGGTCCTTAAGTTTAAGGAAATATCAATTTAAGCAAAGAATTTAAGGCCTGTGGTTCAGGTACTGTTGCATTTTCTTTAGACATACAAGGCCAATGTTAATGTTCTTTTTTCAGTGTTACTTTTAATTTAAAAAAGGTAATTTTTTAAAGTTTTTGTAATGAGTATAAATAAATATTACTAAGGCAACCTAACTATTGTTTTTATATAATGGAATCATTTTCTTTCCTCATCTTCATACAATGTCCACATTGTCCTGGAAATTTTTGCTATATTTGTTGCAGTTCTCCGAATACTTTAGCAAAGCTTGCTTCATTTTTGTTTCTAGTTGGCCAGTGGACAGCCTTGAACAAAAGCCCCAGCCCTCTGCACAGCAGTCATGATCCACATTATAATTTAATCTGAGCTCCGTGTAATAAGCAGCATTCCATTTGGGACTAGAGTGGTGAAGAAGTAAGAACTTCAGTGACCTCAGTTAATTTTAAAAGTATTTTGCATACCAGTAGATTTAGAGCACGCATAGCCTGAAGCAGTTTTACTGATAACAAGCTTTTTAATTCTAACACGATTCTACTTTTTTTTTTCCTACTTGTTAGAAAACCAGGCAAGAGCGAAGGAATCCGACTTGTCAGACACTCTGAGTCCAAGCAAGGAGAAAAGTAGTGACGACACTACAGGTGAGTTTTAACCTAATGTCTATAACTCTGCAGATGTTATTGTTAGTTATTGTTGCCTACTGAGCAGTTCAGGTATGCAGGTTGGTGTGGGTGGAGATTTCAAAATTTGTATTGGGGGGGGAAGCAGTACTTCTATTTATCAAATTATTCCCTTGATAATTTGGATAAATTTTAAAACTATGTACAATGATCCAAATACAATAGCTGTGTAAGTTTCACTTACTTATTTTGAAAAGGATAGCTTGCTGATAGAGTTTACTGTTTATAATTCTCTTTTTTTCCCCTCTGTAGATGCCCAAATGGATGATCAAGACCTAAATGAACCCCTTGCTAAAGTGTCCCTATTAAAAGGTACTTTAACATGTTTTTATGACATTTAAACCAGGGCATTGGATTCACCCTTGGCACAAATTCAGTTCCAAGTATTACATGATGTTTTAAGTTTTAGTTAGAAGAGTAAGATAGCTTGTCTATAGTAGCAGAAACTAAAAATTAAAATGTTGATGTTGGTGCTTAAATACTTCAAAGAAAAATGTTTACATGTAGAATAATTTATGTCAATCAAAGTTATTTGTAGGGCAAAGCAGTAAGTGGTAGAATGTGAAATATAGCTGTGGGTTTTTTGTGTTTACCTTGATGTCTCTGACAGGAACTCTTATCATTTTTAATGTAAATTAGAAAAAGTTAAAAATACTAACTTCCTTGAAAGAACTATCTATTTAAGTGCCTTAGGGTGTCTTTTTGATAAATCTGTGATTGCCAGCATTTAGTCTCTTTTATAATTGCCTTATTGTACACAAGAAAAATTGACATATAAGTCCCGCTCAGTAGGTTAAGTATTTTAGTAGCAATGGACCAATACCAGGCAAGTCTCTGCAATCAGCAGCAAAAGCAGCCTGTGGAGTTTTCTTTGTATAGAAATGCCTTTGCATCTGGCTGGGCTCTTAAGGGATCGCCCAGTTCAGACCCTCAGTTTTGGATTATATAAAGGGAGCCTTGGGCTTCCCAGGTAGCACAGTGGTAAAGAATACACCTGCCAAAAAAACAAAATAAAATGAGATTAAAAAAAATTAAAAACAACAACAAAAAAGAATACAACTGCCAGTGCAGAAGCTGCGAGGGATGTGAGTTCAGTCCTTGGATCAGGAAGATCCCTCAGAGGAAGAAATGACAACCCACTCCAGTATTCTTGCCTGAAAACTTGTATCGACAGAGGAGCCTGGTGGGCTGCAGTCCCTGGGGTCACAAAGAGTTGAACATGACTGAGTGACTGGGTGCATGCATGCGCATACACGCTTCCACACACACACACACACACGGAAGCCTTGATTTCACTCTGCATGATCATGCTGCTCTCCTCGCTACATAACAATTAGAATTGGAAGTGGTTAGCAAAGAGGTTACCCAGATTCTCTCAGAATTCCTTGGTCTGGGCGTCATGGCCTTCTCTTTTCTTCTCCCATGGATCCTGAAGCTGACATAGCTGTTTGAGCCACCTTTGATTGAATTCCCTTAACCAGAAGTCCTGAAGATTACTGGTCCAGGGAACCAGCTGCCAGCCTGCATTTAAGTATGATCATAGTTTCTAGTATTCTTACTGATCTACACTCTTCTCAAATGACCTCTGGTGTTTGAGACATGGCTTTTCTTTTCTTTTTTTAGGAAAAAAGCAAATAAGTTTAAAATTAGGAAAGTGACAGATCTAGCCAAACCTTGAGAGTTGTAGACAGTAGCCCCTTTATTTTATTCAATGAAACCCTATACCTGGCTTCTTGAATCATTATCTTCAAATTTTATTATTTCCCTTTTTAAAAAACAGTCAATCTTTGTTTAGAATTATAATACACCATCTGTCATGTTAGTCATCTAGAATTAGGAAAGGCATCTAAAGTAGATTAAACAGTTACCATGAGCTGTAAATGAAATGATGAAACAGTAGTAATTTTCCTTGAAATATTATTTTTAGTCAACATATGTCACTTTAGAAAGAGAAATAAAGCTGTGGCTTGATCCACAGGTTTTTATGTACTTGAAGTCATTTCCTTAAAAAAGGTAAAAAGAAAAGGAAAAAAAAGGTAAAAAGAAAACTGGAATTCAGACCAAGTAGTATCTAATGCAGTTTTGCTTCCTTTAGGGAACTGTGCCAGAGACCTCAGTGGTTTCAAAGTCTGATAAGACTGTACTTGGAATTTGAGGAGTTTCTAGTCAAACTGGCAACAGAAGAGGTATAGATGATAAGCTGTTTCTCAGTTGTTGTTGCCATTAGGAGTCAAAGAAAGGGGAAAGAATGTCCAGATTATATATTTGTTTCTTTTTGTTTATCTTAGAAGATGGGGAAGAAAGGCAGTTCATGGAGGAGTATCATTTGCCATGACTCTGAAAGTGTCACACCACAAAAAAGCTGAACTTGAATCTAGTCAAGATTCTAGATTCAGCTGCCAAACTGCCACCTTACAGGACATATAAAAAACAAGAGACATAGTTTAAATGATATGGTAGACAATGAGATGTTTCTAGTTTGACGTCATAAGTGTTTTAGTAGGTATGGTGGAAACTTTGGAGAGTGCAGCTAATTTCCTGGCTAGGGGCAGAGACAGGGTAGAGCAGTAGTCAGGATGGGCCTTCCAAATGAGTTGGTTAAAGGTAAGTGAGAGTACCCAAGAGTGAAAAGAAAGGCATACATTTCTTTAAAATAGTGCTGACATTTACAAATAGGACTGTTTAATGTAGCAGTAACATTTACCAGTAGGAAAGTGTGGTACAGCGCAGGCTGTGTTGGGCAGATGTGGAGAAAGATAAGACTGGGCCAGAAAGAAATGTTTGGGAAATCTCTGCATAGGGATGGACTGTGATAGCAAAGGAAATTTATAGAGAAAGAAGAGCAATGGGAAGATCAAAGGAGCCAACAAAAGATCTAGTTGTCAAGAAGGAAGCCAGCTGATCAGAAGGACTAGCAAACTAAGAGGCTGCTCTTTGGTCCCCTAATCTACAACAGAGGAGGCAAGGCTATACATTGGAGAAAAGACAGCTTCTTCGGTAACTAGAGCAGGGGAAACTGCACAGCTACCCAGAAAAGAATGAAATTAGAACACTCCCTAATACCATATACAAATATAAACTCAAAATGGATTAATGGCCTTAATGTAAGGCCCCACTATAAAACTCTTAGAGGAAAACATAGGCAGGACACTCTTTGACATAAATCAGCAATATCTTTTTTGATCTACCTCCTAGAGTAATGAAAGTAAAAACAAAAGCAAATGAGACCTAATTAAACTTAAAAGTTTTTGCACTGCAAAGGAAACCATAAACATGACAAAAAGACAACCTTAACAGTGGGAAAAAATAGTTTCCCACTGACAGGGGGTTAATCTCCAAAATATACAACCAGCTTATACAGCTCAATATAAAAAATAAATAAATAAACAATAAAAAAATGAGCAGAAAACCTAAATAGAAATGTCTCCAAAGAAGACACCCAGGTGGCCAACAAACACCTGAAAAGATGCTTAACATGACTATTAGAGAAATGTAAATCAAAACTACAGTGAGATATCACCTCCCACAGTCAGAATGGCCATTATTTAAAAATCTACAAACAATAAATGCTGGAGAGGGTATAGAGAAAAGGGAACCCTCTTACATTTTTGGTGGGAATGTAAATTGATACAGCCAATATGGAGAACTCTGTGTGGGTGTGTGTGGTTAGTCACTAAGTTATGTCCGACTCTTTGTGACCCTATGGACTGTTGCCCATCAGGCTCCTCTGCCTGCCTATTTTGAATAGGGCTGCAATGAACAGTGAGGTGCATATATCTTTTTGAATTATGAATCTCCATTTTTAGTTTTTTAAGGAGAAGAGTATAGTGTTCCTTAAAAAAATAAAAGTAGAACTACCATATGACCCAGCAGTCCCACTCCAGGTCATATCCCTAGAGAAAACCATTATTCAAAAAGATACATGCACCCCAGTGTTCACTGCAGCACTGTTTACAATAGCCAGGACATGGAAGCAGCCTAAATGTTCATCAACAGAAGAATGAATAAAGAAGATATGGTACATATGTACAATAGAATATTACTCACTCATAAAAAAAAGTGAAATAATGCCATTTGCAGCAACATCAATGGGCCTAGAGATTATTATTTTAAGCAAAGTAAGTCAGAAAGAGAAGGACAAATACCATATCACTTATATGTGGAATCTAAAATACAACACAAATGAAAATATCTATGAAACAGAAACAGACTCACATAGAGAAGAGACTTGTAGTTACCAAGGGGAAGGTGGAGTGGGGAAGGGAAGGATCAAGGGTTTGGGATTAATCGATGCAAGCTATTATATATAGGATGGATAAATAACAGTGTCCTCCTGGGTAGCACAGGGAACTGTAATTAATATCCAGTGATAAACCATAATGGAAAAAATAGGAAAAAGAATATTTGTATAACTGAGTCACTTTGGTATACACAGAAATTAACACAACATTGTAAATGAACTTAAAAAAAAAAAAGATAAAGGCATCATGACACTTCCTACTTTAATACTCCTAAAAAATAAGGACGTTATCCTGTATAATGACAAATCCAGAGATGGGCAGCTAGAACCTTTGCAGACTCCCATGTGTGATGCTGAAAGAGAAATTTTGTAGTTGTTATGATAATGCAGCTTGCTTTTCCTCCACCTTTACCATGACTTTTCGAAGGAAGAATTGATAGACTGGCTAAAGTACATGAACCTAGAGTTAGAATTTTTGACAGGGAGAAGTAAGATATGAGGATAAAAACACATGTTTATAATATCTTAGACCTGCTGTGTTTGCATCATGAAATTTTATTTTTAGTTCTTTCCTGATGGATTGAAGTTGTTATGCCTGAGCTATTGTAAACCAAAGCAATAGTCGAATAGAATAATAGAATATACTAGAAGAGCATGGCCTACCTGATGATGCATTTATTTCAGGCAGTGTTCAGTAGTAGAGAGTTTTAATACAATGAAAGACGAGCAGAGTGACTAGAGAGAGAGGAGGGAAGGAGTTTATTTGAGATGTAATGCTGGTTCTAATGTATTTTGATATGATCACTACGTTATTATTATTTAATAACTAAGTGAATATTTGCTTGTTATGTATGTGACATTGAGGAAGCAGTGACGAGAGAGTAAGCACAGTGGAGCTTTCAGCTTAGTTTTTATTTTGTATTCCACAACTGGGGAAATCATGCTAAAATGTTTTTTCTTGAGGAAAAGTTTCTCTCTGTTTTTCCATTTCCAGTTAAGTTGCAAGTGAAAAATTTCTGACCTGTTATCAACAAATTTCAAAATTGAATTAGGATAATATTATGTTCATATTACTAAGTATCAAGCCTTACATAAATTCTGCATAAGCCTTACATAAGTAAAACAATTTATTATACATTAGTATATGTTTTATAGTACCATTGCCATTAATTACTAAATATATATTTAATTATATTTGTGTTCTTTCTCCAGGGTAAAATGACTAAAATGCTTAATATAATTTGCTTCTAAATTTTATTAAACTTAGTTGTGCTGTGTTGTTAACTATGCATGTCTAAACATGGGAAAGATTGCTAATCTTTGTTTGTAGAGATTATGATATCATACTAACTCTTGCTTTTAAAATAAACATATTTTTGTCAGATGACTTGCAGGGTGCACAGTCAGAAATTGAGGCAAAACAAGAAATTCAGCATCTTCGCAAGGAGTTGATTGAAGCCCAGGAACTAGCTAGATCAAGTAAACAAAAATGCTTTGAACTTCAAGGTGAGATCAAGATTACTTTGACTCTTCAGGGGATGTGAAAGCAACAAAATATTACTGAATGGCCCCAAGTCCAGAGGCATAGTTATCCTCTTCCAAATCCATGACTTTATTAGATATGTGATCTTGGGATTTTACTTATCCTCTCTGAGCTTATGATTCAGATCAGTAAAGTGGAGACAGTTATAGTGGTATGACCTTCTTCTGATGATCAAGAAAGACGTGTTCCAATGAAAAATCTTAAGAGTTAATTACATATTAAGTACAATAGAAGGAGAAAAACATAGAAATATTAATTTCTAAATTTTAATTATACCTAATATTAGCTACTCAACATAAGATAAGGGACATTTATATTCCCTGCAGGCTTACAGTGTATGCTAAAGTAAGTGAGAGGAGCCAGGCAAGGTTAAGCTAGAGAATCTTCCAATGTCCCAACCACTTTTTATTCTAGTACCTCACTTATCTATGCAGTCATATGCCAGTTGGAGTCAGTGCTGTCCCCTAGAGCTAACCTTTTTATATCATTCACAGTAGTTATCTAGTTGCAGTCGATTAGTATCTTACAAAGTCTTAGAATCCTCATGTTCTCTAAAATGGCCTTCCTCACCAGGAGGAAGATTTGCATCCCACAGGGAACCGTGGACTTCCTGTCAGTAAGTACTTACTATGTACTTGGCAGTGAACATGAAGATTCTAAGTCTGGTTTTCAAATTTAAGCTCACAATGTTAATTAACAGCTATCAAGAATGCTTCTCAAGTAAAAAACAGCATATATTATCTCAGCCATATAAGGTATAGAAAGCTCCTTTCAGTTGATACATTTATTACTGACTTACTACTGTTTTGTGCTCCTAAAAATCTTTAAACTAGCTGATTGCTAATACTGCTAATACTTACTGCCTAACTTTTGTTTCCTTTCATGAGCTTTAGGAGAGAGTTTCTTAGGATTTTCCAGTTGCTCAATTCTGAATATTTTCATTAAATCACAAAATTAGACATATTGTACTTTACTTCTAGCTCTTTTGGAAGAAGAAAGAAAAGCCTATCGAAATCAAGTTGAGGAATCCAGTAAACAAATACAGGTTCTTCAAGGTATGGAACACTTCAGGGCTATTTGGGATTGTTACTGTTTGTTTGTTTGTTTGTTTGTAGTGATTCAAAAGAAATGGAAAATAAGACTGCACAGGGTCCCCATTTTTCATGGCTTTGATTCTTCCCTAGAATCTGAGACTGTAACTGGCTCTTGGTGGCCTTTTCTTTTCTTTTTTAGAGGGAACATTCCCTAGTACTACAATAGTACTTCCCACTTGGAGTGGGGAGAGCAAGAGTGAAGATATGAATTTGTAAGACTATCATTTTCTGGGTTACATAGTGACTTGCTATAGAGGAGACCTTCAGACAGGGTATCAATTTGAGTCGGTCGGTGCATCAGCACTTTTAGCTTGTTGGTGATATTATTTCTAATGCTCGTAGCACACTTGCATTGCAGCAAAAATTGTTTACCTCATGGAACAGAACAGTGGTCCCTGCACTGCCTTCATTGGTAACGGCTGCTCTTCATGCCCACCATTTTGCTGTCTCTTTGTCTGGGCTGTCACAGAGTCTTCACAGAAACGACCTGAAAGACACCTCTCTGTCCAGGGTTTTCTTTGAACCAGAGCTCCTGGTACTTTGAGGCTATAACTGTGAGATACTCCAGGAGATGTCTTTCCCATGCCATTGTAAAATCCCTAAAGTAAAATTAATTTGCCTTCATCATCAGAGAAGGAACCAATGTTATTTTAAAATATTTGTTTGAGTGGCAGGGTAAAAAGAAATTAAATAGACGGGTAACCCCTGTTGAGATGGAATGGGGAGTCAATGTGTGAGGCCTAGGGTATTTGCCCTAAAATACCCAGAGAAAAATCAGTCTTTTGGGTTTTCATTTCTTCTTTTTGAGTCGGACATTTCATTCAAAAATTTAATTGTAGTATGGTCAAACAAGAATTTCTGGGGTAGATGGGTAGATGAATTTTTAAATTCATGAGCGTTCTTCACAGTTTTATTACAGTTTAATGCTATTATCCATTAATTTACATAAATCTGCCTTATATCTGTATTTCCATCCTGTACTGTGTATGGGCAGTTATCCCTGAAGTTCTGTGATGTAGTGCTGCCTCTTGTGGTAAAGCTGCCTTACATGAGCATCATTGAGTGCCCCCTAGCGCCAGCATGTATATTTCATGATTTTATCCACAAATCCATGGTCATGTAATCCCTGGCCATCGTGCCCTTCCAGATGTTGAGGTTGTTAACCTCTTACTGCTTCCCACAAACTTAAATGGTCTAGTATTTATTATTTATTTATGAGGCAACCTCTTCCTCCCCAAGGCTGAAATCCTCTTATTTTAATTGTTCTTTTCTACCTAAGGAATTTTTTTATACCTATAATTTTCTTGTGTTATAGTAACAAAGACCAGTATTCTAGTTCTGAACCCAGTATGATTTTATACAGATTGTTTCCAGTTCACATCAACAAGACCAGAGCTTTAAAAAATATACCTCTGACTAGGCAGTATTCAGTAGCTTTATTAATTCATTAATTCAACTGATAATCCTTGGTTCTTTACTCTTCTAGTCTTGGGGGTAGTATACATGAGATGTACAGTGTAGTGAAAAAGATGAACAAAAGCAAATACGTATATAATGTGATAGCCAATAAGAGCAAAGGACTAGAGAATGACAGTGGACTATTTTTAGATCACTATCAGAGAAAACTTCTTTAATTGACAATTCAAAAGAAAATTGAGTTAAAAATATCAAAGGTTTTATTAATGTTTACCATCTGACCAAGCAGTTCTGTGTCTATGAATTCACCCTTATGGAAGGAAAAAATCAAGATTGCATTATAAGATGTATTGTCATGAGTAATTAAAAACTCAACAGCGTAATATATCTGAAATAAAGGATTAGTGAAGAAAGTTAATATAGCTGTTTTGTCGTTAAAAAATATCACCAGCAGCATAGAGAGCACTGTATTTATTACGATCGCTGCCAATTTTTGTTTTTATATATGTATAAATGCTTAGAAAAAATCTGGGAAAATAAGTACCAAATGTTAAAAGTAATTTTCTCTGTGTGGGAGAAATAAAGATCACTTTGAGCTTTTTTTCTCTCTTTGTGTTTCTGTATTTTGATGTTTTATGCATTAAACATGGATTGCTCATACAGTTTAATCAAAAGCAACAAAACGGCTCTGACAGCCGGGACTGTGCAGTAACTACAGTCCCATATGGACTGTTCTTTTATTCCTGATTACATGGACTAAGAAAATGATGAATAACTATACTTTTGTAGCCCAACTACAGAGGTTACACATCAATATTGAGAATCTCCGGGAGGAGAAGGATAGTGAAATCGCAAGTACTCGAGATGAATTGCTTAGTGCCCGAGATGAAATTTTACTCCTTCATCAAGCAGCAGAAAAGGCTGCCTCTGAGCGGGACACTGACATTGCTTCTTTACAAGAAGAGCTTAAGAAAGTGCGAGCTGAGCTTGAGCGGTGGCGGAAAGCAGCATCTGAATATGAGAAAGAAATCATGAGTTTGCAAAATAGCTTTCAGCTTCGGTGTCAACAATGCGAGGACCAGCAGAGGGAAGAAGCAACCAGGCTGCAAGGTGAGAAATGTACTTTACGTAGAGCTCTTCATGCTTGACACTGATAACTTCATAACTTGTACTGAATAACCCAGTCAGGTTAATTTTCTCTTCCATAATGATTGATTGTATAAAAGCAATGTTTTTATATTGGGGCTATAAACATTCTTCACATCTGTAAGCTCTACAATGAATTGAAAAAATTAGCAATTTTACATTTATTTAAATACTGTTAAAAATTATTTGTCTTGTAAAAGTGAAGTGGAAAAAAAAATATTACTGAAGTTCAGGGTGATGAGAACTTCCCTGAGGCATAACTGCAAAGTAACAGAAATCAAGGAAAAGCCATATAAAATCTTTGTTTTTTAAGGGGGAAAAAATAGTTACATTCCTATATTAATAAATGTGTTTTGGGACTATTTTAGGTGAACTAGAGAAGTTAAGAAAGGAATGGAATGTATTGGATACCGAATGCCGTTCTCTAAAAAAGGAAAATGTTTTGCTATCTTCAGAACTGCAGCGGCAAGAAAAAGAATTGCACAAGTATGCATGAACTCTTATTTAGGTTCAAAATATTTCTGTATCTTAGATTTTCATCTAAATTTAATTTAGTTTTGATACTTAAATACCTTTTGGAACAAAACTTTCAGCCAGACTCTTTTCTGGCTACGTGGTAGGTTAGCCCCACTAAATGAGTTCTTAAGCACTTTTTATCTGGCACCACCTCTGTGTCCTTTCTTTTGGGTGAACTCATGGAATACAGATTCATTAAAAGCCTCCTTCCCACCCCCATTCCCAAAGCTCTAAACAAACAAGCAGCAAATGATCTATGATTAAAATCACCTTTAAGCTAAATGATAATAAATTTCAAATGCAAGTTTGTTTTTTTCTTTCATGCCAGTGATCCCTTCTGTTTATAAGGTTCATCAGAAGATGGCTGGGATAAAAGAATTTATATTATTCAAAGACACAGAATCAACTTTTCCTTATCAAACAGGGTTATGTAAAAAGTAATAATCTATAAGATCAAAAATGCTCTAAAACCAATTAAATCTGTCATAATATCCAGTACCCTACAGGCAAACCAATGAATGCAATAGATTTGTTCCAGCAAATTTGGTAGAGTCTTGTTTTCTTACCAGCACTTATTGCATAGTTTAACATTTATTTCTTCCTTTATAATTTGACCCATTTTGATTCCATATTTTTTATTTAAGCTGTGTTTATAGTCTAATTCAGAATATGAAGGCGCAGGTGTTAGTCACTCAGTCAAATCTGTGCAACCCCATGGCCTGTAGCCCGCCGGGCTCCTCTGTCCATGGGATTCTCCAGGCAGGAGTACTGGAGTGGGGAGCCATTCCACCGTCCCCTCCTCCAGGGGGCCTTCCCGTCCCAGGGATCGAGCCCAGGCCCGCTGCACTGCAGCCAGATTCTTTACTGTCTGAGCCACTCGAGAAGCCCACACCTGAAGGTAGCACATGTTTATTATTGAAGCCCTTCTTTAAACTGTCGCCCTCCCCTCAGTGTGCCGAAACCGCGGGTCATTACTCTCTTGTTAGCCTTGTGCTTATGCTCCTGAAGAGTATTAAGGCTGGCAAAAACTCAGTGATCAAGGTCAGTTCTCTTAGAAAATACGCTTTAGGGAAAAATGATAATTAGATGTATCAGAAAATAACATTCCTCATTAACTCTTATGAAAACAAAGGCAATTGCAATATTGGTTATATATTAAAAAATCAAGAACTAATTGAAGGAGCAAGATGTACTGACTTATTCTGTAAAACTCCTTCCTATAGTATCATGTGGTCAGTATCAGTATCTTTTTTTTTTTAATATCAGTGTTTTTAAAGCACTTTTTTCTCTTCCAGTGTCTTACCATTCCATAATCTTTTCTCTGCATATTCCTCTTGGAATGTTTAGAGTTAATTAACAATAGAGAATAAAACACATGTTTGTTTTTAACATGAAAGTTTGTAAAAGCTATTTCAGAATATGAATAGGACAAAATAATGGCCCAAAATACAAACAAACAAATAAATGAGTGCACTCACAGACACACACAAACACATGTGTTTATATGTATTTAGTATCAGCTGATCATCAGTTGACAGAACATGTGGGCAAAATACTTGGTATAAAATATGTGTAAGATGATATAGACAGTCAGGTTCTTCATATTTGGAATACATTTGGATCTTGGTGAATCGATTTAGTTTGGTATTCTATCACGCAAGAAATAATGATATTTGATTACCAGTATTGATTATCTTAAATTATTCTTGTTTTGGAATATTTGATATTTTAAAGATTCAGACTTGATCCCTTATTTTTGAGATATGATAAATTGAAATCTAGCAGATTGTTAAATGCTATTTTTAAAATTACTTCCAAGTTTTGTTTAAATGTTGAAAAGCAATCCTACAAATCCTTATGAGTTAGAAGCATATGATTTAAAAATATTAGGCCCCAGACGTTTGGATTATCAGTGGTCAAGTTATCTGTCTAAACTCATATAAACTATTTAAGACATTAATTTTGCTTTTTAAATTTTTTGGTTTAATAGTTCTCTTAATTTATTTGTTAAGCCACCCCAGCATTTGAGTAGTATTTAGAAGCTAGTCTTTCTTTACAGTTTCTCACATGCTGTTTAGTTCCTAGCTATATTCCCCTAACAACATCACATTCACACCTAGGATCTGCTTAGCATCCAATCAGCATGAGATTTATACTCTATAGTACTTCAGGTACAGTATTGAGACTTATGATCCATCCTGAGAGGCATATAACTGTGATTCTCGAAAACCTTATCCTCCTTTAGCTATTTCTGTTGTAGATGGGAGCCAAATTTTTTAACACAGCTACACTGTACAGGTCTTTTCTTCTTTGTTGTCCATGATGTAGAAGGAATTGAACAAAGAATTTCCTTTTTTTTTTAAATTTACTTTTAATTGGAGGATAATTGCCTTACAGCATTGCGTAGGCTTCTGCCATACATCAGCATGAATCAGCTACAAGTATACATGTGTTCCCTCTCTCTTGAACCTCCTTCCCATTCTCCTACCCCATCCCCCCGCTCTAGGTCATCACGGAGCACTGAGGTGAGCTTCCTATACTTTATAGCAGCTTTCCACTAGCTATCTGTTTTACATATGGTAATGTATATATTTCAGTGCTCCTCTCTCCATTTGTCCCACCTTCTCCTTCCCCTGCTGTGTCCATAAATCTGTTCTGTATGAACAAAAAATTTCTCCTGATGCTTGTCAAAAGGTAAATGTGATTTTTTTTTTTTTACATCAAGTTGTAACAGTAATTACAGGATTTAAGCTGGAAAACAGCCTCAGCAATTATTGAGTTCAGTCTTCTTGTTTGACCAAGGAGGGCACTGAAACTCTCCTTGTGTTATTTGTGTCTGTGCGAACAGTGCCTGGCACAGATCTAAGAGGTCAGGAAAGGCTTACTCAGAGAATGAAATGGTACCAGTTAAGCGACTTGCTCAATATCCCACAACTAAATAGTGGCAGATCTGAGGTCTGCATCCCAACCATCCTGGTCCTTTGTTTTGTGTTTTCCTCTCATTTTGGTACCTTCTCATTTCAGTAGGTTTATCTTTACTTAAAGTTGGAACTGGCTCCTAGACTTTTAAGTTTCTGTTTGCCATCCTATCTGTCAAGTATTTGAAGAAACTAGTTGAAATATGTGCTTTCTTTTCTTGTAGAAGACCTACACTGAATATTTTTATGATACAGTGAATATAATGTGATATGACAAAATATACAGTCACCTTCTACTTCTTTTTTTATAATTTCAACCTTTGCATGTATTTGATTATCTGAAAATAGTAAACAGCTTTAAACTTTCATTGTTTTAGTGTTTTAATGCTTTTTTACTTCTTGAAAATATCATTCTTTTTTTTCCCATACTTTTCTTTCCTCCTCTGAAATCCATTCCATCCAGCCTAGTAACAGTTGTATAAATATAAAAGAAATTGAACTTCCTGCTGTGTCTGGTTTCTGCATGAATAATTGTCAATATTTCTGTTGCAGTTCACAGAAGCAGAGTTTAGAGCTTACCAGTGATCTCAGCATCCTGCAGGTGACCAGGAAAGAGCTTGAAAATCAAGTGGGATCCTTAAAAGAACAGCATCTTCGGGATTCAGCTGATTTAAAAACTCTTCTCAGTAAGGCTGAAAACCAAGCAAAGGATGTACAGAAAGAGGTAAAGCGAAAAGACATTATGAGCCCAATTATGGTTGGACTTAAAGCCAAAAGCAAATCAGATATTCATGCTAGTTAGAAATAAAGGGAAGCATTACCTGCCACAGAGTTGATACTGGAAGTATCTCTGCCTGGTGATTTGTTAGCTGTGTATCATGGTCCATATGTAGAAAATTTATCAGTAAGGTTTGGTCTCAAAATATAAATATACAAAGTTACATTAAAAGGTTTTCTGTACCAGTTAGTTGACCTTTGTACCAGATTACTCAGTTCATTGTTTATCTTTCCAGATAGTATCACATTTAATTTAGGGGACTTTTGGAAAGTAAACTGGGGCCACCCCATAATGCTGTCCAAACCCCTCAGGTGAAACTGGCCTGAAAAGTTGCTTATGAAAAAACTCAGCTCATACCCAGTCAGCCAAACTCATCGTGTTTGTGACCTTTTCCTTTCTTTCCCCCATCTCTTTTTCTCCTTCACAAATAGGCATGCTCATTTCTCATGTCATTTTGCTTAAAATCTCAACTTTGGTGGCTTAAAAAAAAAAAATCATACTTAAAATAGTGAGGGTTGGTGTTGGAGCCCCCTCCCCACACACACACAGGCATGGTCGAGGTTGACTGTGGGGCAGTAAGAGCTGCAATCAGTCCTCTTGGCCTAATACTACTACCTGCATTGACTTGTAGCCAGCTTAGCGGGTGGAGAAGGCTGATTCATTTCCATCTACCTGGCAGAACTTACCCTGGTTGTAGACCCTCTTAAATGAAGGATTGGTTTTAAACAGAAGGAACTTGAAGACAACTCTTTTGTCTTCAATAACAAGTTTTCCCCAGATTGTTTTAGAAGATCTGTTTAATCAATGTAGTTTTTCTTTGCATTTTTCTTCTCTCCTTATAGTATCCTGAATCTGGAAATGATTATTGTTCTTCTGTCTTCATGTTTGTTCCTAAAGGGGAAAAAAAAAAACACAAAACTGTAACATTTTTTATTTACATGTGGCCATATTGATTTTGTAATATGTTCATTTTTATCTTCTTGCTAAGGATATGTGTTTTGGGAGAAATCTCATTTTACTTGGTTGGAACACAAATTCTGTGCCAAAGTAAATATCCTAGTATTTAATACTGTAAGCACTTTGTGTCCTTCCAGTCCACATGCCATAATTCTTTCAAAATCTGGGAAGAATGCTGTGGTTGGAAGATAAACCTATTGTATGTTATTCTGAATGCATTAGCCATTTTGTTGCATTGCTTGTTTGCCTGTTTTTGGTCACTGAGCGATCAGTGCAAAATGCTTTGACTGTTCCCACAAATGGCAGTGGCATGTTGTCACAGCATCTAAATTGTTGATAGCCTCTGGATTGCATTAAATGCAGCACATTTAAAAATATGTCTGATCTCGTCAATATGTTTCTCTTCTATTTTCTTGTTCAGTGTTTTCATTGTGAAATGATGTGTAGTCATCATGCTCCTTTGTAATGTAAAACTGCTTTTCTTTCCGTTTGTCCTGATGTCAACTCTTGGATACTAGTCTGTAACTAAAACGTTCTTTAATGAGATTCTTCTATCTGTGTAACCCACTGCAAATGAATTACGACCTTTTATTAATGCACATATATTCCCTTTCAACATTTCTGCTTTTTCTCCTTTCTCTCATAGAATCATACTTAATGTGCACAGTATAATGATTCTGTATCTTCAGTACTGTCACAAGCTAAAATATCACAAACTGAGCAAGCCCAGATATGATTATTTTTAAGAAGAAGAACCAAAGGTGTTGGTAATATTGTGTGGTAGTTCCATCTTAATCAGACCTGAGCTCGTTTCTCACCTCTGAGTTAGAAAGCAAGATGGAGCAAAATGATATCCATCTTGTTAGATGTGAAACTAAGGCTGTAGAAGGTGACCTTTGTTTTGACGATTAAATCTTAAATATGTGGCAGCTTTTTTTTGAACAAAAAAAAGTACATTTAACAAAAAGCACATGAGAAAAGTAAAATTTACTCCTCAATATTTAGAGAAAAATAATGATATACCATCTTAATATTTGAATTAAGAAAGCATCTGTATATTTTGATTTAGTAGGAATATCTATAATTTAAGAAACATTGAGCACCCAAGGCCACCCTACAAAGCCTGACTCAGGGAAGTTGTTTAGCTTCACCATCTAACCCTGGGGCCAGAGTCCTTCCCACCCTCCCTCACAAGCTGAAGGTAAACAGCAGGATCTTCCTGACTAAGCTGCCTTCCTGTCTCTTCACAACTTCTGTAATGGAGAAATGATGAAGTGCTTTGGTGTACAGTGCAGGCTGGATGTAGGAATGGTGGAAAAGGAAAGTAAGGGAAAATTTCGATCAGCAAAGCACTTTTCACTTAGTCACTTTAGGAATCAGATCATTGAGAATTGATTATGTTCTAAGAGACTTTATGCAGAGGCTAGTCTAGGTACACTGAATTTGTTTTGGCAGCCTGCCAGTAACCTTCTGCCTTCTGGAAGGAAGTACACAGACCCCACAAAGAAAAAAAAAACAAACCTGTCATGAAGTCCATGAATCTTACTCCTTAAGTTTTTTCTCTGGCATACTACCCAAACTTTTTCTGGGAATGTGGTTAGGTAACAGGGAGTTCCTTTCATATTTTACCTCCCTCTCTACCCGTGTCTTTCTTCCTGCTGTGGTGAATTCGCTGCTGACCCTAAGCCCCTGCCCACACCACTTCTGACTAATGTTTTTCCACATTTGCATCTGTAATATTTATCTTTGGAGTGCATAATGGTGAATGCCTCCAAGGTGTTTGCATTATTCAGAAACACCATATAAAGGTGTGCCTTCATTGAGAAATTCCTAGGATACAGCCAGAAAGGAACTGGATTTTCAGCCTCGTGGGCTGTGTTTAGGGAAGAGAAGAAATCTTTCTGGTATGCCAGACATGTGGTATATTTATGCTATACTCAGCCCTTGTCTGCCTGTCTGCCTTCTAAAACTTTCAGAAATGACAGAGTTGGACAGTGGAGGCCGAGACAAAGGCACAGCCAGCAGCAGAACAATGTTTGCTCTTTGCTAGAGAGCTCAGCTTGCATGGAAGATGCTATATCTAGAAGTGAAGCCAGTCTCGAATTCCTGCCTCCTGGGGCATTTAATGTAGGGGCAAACAATCCTTCTTTTTACCTTGATGTCACCCATGTTCAAGGGCTAGATTGCCTGTCCAAAATTAATGTTATATACAGTGAACTGTTTTCCCGAGCAGGAGGTGGCGTGTTTCACTAAAGAAAAATATCAGCAGCAGATTTCTTAAGTTATTTTTCATTGATGCTTCTAAGTCTTAAGTCAGGAGAGAGAAATGTCCCGGTCATAGTGATTGTTACCTTAGATAATATTTCTCTGCTTCATTTGCCTAGACATTCCTTATCCAGAACACTTTAATACACAGTGATGCTGGGTAAAGGGAGGTCTAATGAGAATTAAAAGTTATTACTTCATGACTAAAATAACTTGGCTGACATTACTTACCAGGATATAAACTCAGACTTCCGAAACTTGCCATTTAATTAGGCTATGGAAGTTTCTCTTCACTTGCTTTCCTTTTGCTCAGTTTGGAATTTTACTTTTCTCCTCTAACTCACTTAGTGGAAAAAGTGACACCTTATATTAGAAACACATGATACAATGGTGACTTCTCTTAATTTTTTTTTTTAAATGCCAAGGCCAGAAAACTCTTACATAGAATCAAGCTAACATTAAAGGCTTCTTATTATCACTGCAAATGATCCTTATCCTCCTTATAACAAAAACGCTTGACTGTGGTGGTGCAGGTGACTAAACAGGGTCTGGTATTTAAGCCTGACTAAACACATAACTTCATACCCATTTTAAGTTGAGTCTGCACACTCTTTTTTCTTTGCCTTTAGTATGAAAAGACACAGACTGTACTCTCAGAACTGAAGTTGAAGTTTGAAATGACTGAGCAGGAAAAACAGTCAATCACAGATGAGCTCAAACAATGTAAAGACAACCTGAAGCTGCTCCGAGAGAAAGGAAATAATGTAAGTCTTTGCAAACGTGGCTTAGCTTTGATTGAGAGGCAGGCGAGAGCCCTGAAGTTGATTTTTCAGAAGACTTATAACTGATTTGAGAAACTAAGACCTGTAGTCACATGAACCAAGCTTTTCATTATGAAACTCCATGATGGAATCACTGTGCTGTCAAGTTTTTGAGTAGGAATTTGCCCCCTTAGCCTGTACCCCTAGAAAAGCCTAAGGACTACCTGAAGGAAGAGCCTTGTTTGCAAAAAAAAAAAAAGAAATTTAGCTAAGAACTGCCAGCTTTTCCTAGGTAAATCTGAAGCTCTGCCACTAAGCCTCATCTAGCCCTTGTTTTCCCCGCCCTGGGAAACAAAGCACTGTACTCACTGAAGCAAGAGTGATACATGGTGACTCCTTAGCATTTGGTTGTATCAAAAATGGAGACTTACTGATGGTTTTCATTCTATACTAATCATGTTCTGAGGCACATTCCTAAAAAGCTTAGTGGCTTCTGGGCCTCCTATAAATATTTGGAAGTATTAGTGAGTTTCTGTAGGGCTTTGTGTGAGTGAGTATGTGTTTGTGTGTGTGTATGCAGTTAGAACATTGTGGTATAAATTGAGTTTAACAGTATTAATTTGTATTTCATTTGCCAGAAAGGCAGATGGTCTTTTGAAAGATGTTATACTAAATAAATGTCGTGTTACACGTTTTAGTGATCATCGCCTTTGTGGGCCCTAACTGATGGATGTTCAGTGTGGTTGACTGTGCTCTGACTGATTTCAAACCCCTGTCATGGCTTGGACACTGCAGTGGGTGTGAGCCACACACTTCCCGTGGAGGAAGGCACTCTGCTTTAACTTGCAGCGCAAGTACCAAGGGGTACTGTTGCATGGCCTCCCAGTCACACAGTCACACTCAGAATGCTTGAGTTGTGCCCACTGTCCTTTGCTTAAAGAAAGTTTGAGTTTAAAATAAATAAATAAGTAACGACTTGTTGCCCAGGTGGAAGCCTTTCAGAAATTGATGAATTGGTTATGGAGGCTTTATGATAAGCAAAAATGGATTGCATTTGTTGTAAAAATGTCAATTACAGAACTCATCTGAAATCAGATCATAATGGTTTGGTTACTTCTCTCTTTTATGTTAATTCATATCTCTCTGATGTTGAAATTTCAGTCCACCTTCTACTAAATTAACCTGTGAAGACATCTAGCATAATCAGAATGGATCCCTCTGTATGATTTAGAACCTTTTTGAAAGTAGCCTTGCTATTAATATTTACAGTTCTACAAATAATTTACTTTAAGGGTGAATTTCCTATTTTTATATTAGAGTTACAGTAATTAAATATTACTCTATAATAACACTCATTGTAGTAATTCCCTTCCAGTTTAAAAAAAATTACTGGGAATTCCCTGGCTGTCCACTGGTTAGGACTCCAAGCTTCCACTGCATGGGGGCACGAGTTCAGTCCTTGGGCAGGGAATTAAGATCCCACATGCCACGAGGCACCACCAAAATAATAACAATGGTAAAATGAAAGTTAAAAGTTACATCTGTTCTGGTAACATAACCAAAAGCCCAGAGGCTCAACTGCCTCTCTTTATACACTAAACGTTTCTCATACATTGCGTCAGATCTCTTGCTTGATTTAGGAACTGTGTATCACAGGGCATTTATTTTTAAGCTTGAAAGCAATACTGTCTCAAGCAAAAGAGTTTAGGTTTAAAAAAAAAAAGTTTTGATAAAGGGATAAGATAAACCTTAGCACTTTCCAAAGGAGTACATTGTCAAATAACAGATTCCAAGAATGGAACAAAAATACCATACCGTCAAGCAGAGCGTCTGTTGACGAGGCATTTTCATCGCTCTGTCTTAAAGTGATGTGTTTCATTATGCAGTTAGGGATACCCACATTGCCTCCAGCCAGTCTTTAAAACTGGTAGTTTACCAGCTTATCTACCCTGGCCCATCATTCTGGATGATATTAGATGTCTTTAAAATGTCTTTCTACCCTCCCTCCCACCCACCCTGGGTTCTAAATCATCTTATCTGATTTTTTTTGTAGCATAAAATGATTTTAATATCCCTTCCCTTCTTTAGCCTTCCATATTACAACCCGTCCCAGCCGTATTCATCGGCCTATTCCTGGCTTTCCTGTTTTGGTGTTTCGGTCCATTGTGGTAGAGAAAGGTACAAGCACTGCTGTTGAGTCCTTGTCTGTTTGTCCCTGTCACCTGTTCGTGCCATATTTGTAACATAGTGCATGGCAAAACCACACAGGTATTTTGTTACCTGAAGCAAACCCTTCATTTAGTATGCTCCGTGTTGTGTCATACCGAATGAACTGAACTAATCACATAACATTTTGTCTTGTTTCCTTTGTAGTAACGCTAACCATGAATTAATTCCAATCTAACCAGATGTTAATATGCTGCCTTTAACTGAGTCTTTGTCTCTAGCAAACTGGAGTAAACTATGAGTTGCTGCAACTTAGTACCCCCTTCCCAATTATGTTTAATCAGATTTGAATGAAAAATGAAGAGTTTGCCTCTTTGAAGTTTTCAGCAAGCTTTCCTCCCCCCTCCTCTCTTCCCTCTTTTTTTCCGTAGTGTAGAATTCCGTTGTTTCAACCCTTTGCCTATATACACTGTGGCTAAGAAGATGAAAAAGGATGAGAGAGTAACATAATGGACAGTGACTCACAATCCCAACTTCAATATGCACTTCCTTGTGAGAGTGTCAACCAATCCTATGTCTTTCTGAGCCCTGATCTGCAACATTACAATATTTCTTTAAAGGCCAGCTTTCCCAGTATGACTTAGAACATTAGTGAAAAGAAGGCTTTCAAACAAAACAAACTGATTGTAAAGCCCTCTGATAGTTCACAGAGAACAGCCTATTCATGCTTGCCTCCAACAAACATACAGGTTAGTGCAGCATATAGGACGACCGTGTGGCATTATTACCCTTGGACGTGGTCTTTACCAACAGCATCAGACAGGCAAGGACCTTAATATCACTTTTCTGTTTTGAACCCCTTCTGATTTTGTCTTCTATAGTTTCAGACTAGATAATCAAAACTTTTGACCATTTTCTATCACCTTACCCACCAGCCCCTTGTACAAAGCTACGCCGACATGTGAGTCTGGTTTTTATCAAGAAATAAACATTTTAGGCAGAAACATACTCCAGGAATCTATGTACATCAGTTAGCTGAATATGTGGATATCAGAGTAAATAAAACAGGCTCAACTCTGAGAGTTTCTTAGACAAGTTGCTGTTAGGCTTCAAACAAAATTGAAAATTGCCCACGACTCTCCCAAAATGTACTAGGCTTCCACACAGTGGTCCTCTAAAAGTTCTTGCTATTCTGGCTCTCCTCACATCCTCACTCCCTCACCTTTTCTTCTTTTCTTTTTATAATATTCTTATGCAGATATAAGGTTTCTCTAATATTCTGTTAAGTATTCAGGACTCTGTGGAACCAAGGGGTTAATAGGTATGAAAAAACAGAGGGGAGAATGTGATTTTGACTCTTGGTTTCTTTCCACACAGAAACCCTGGCCCTGGATGCCCATGTTGGCTGCCCTGGTCGCAGTGACAGCCATCGTGCTGTACGTGCCGGGTCTGGCCAGAGCTTCTCCATGAGAGCGTTTCTTGAGTCCTACACCGTCCTCCCTCTAGAAGCTGGCACCACACTCATGCTGGGGACAGACAGAACCATTTTCTTCCTTTTTACCTCTTAAAACAGCAGAAGTTCAAGAATACAGCTGTAGGGTCATTGCTTTAAAGTATATAAAATGTATCTGTCTATAAAGAGGATATAAAATTGTGACTCTTCTACTGTAAGCAATAATTTGCTTGCAATTTTTCATGTAATTTTTAAATGAGTATGTTTAAATTCTGAATATTACGGTGGCCTAAAGTAGGCTTCTTGGTACACCAAATTATTTATAACATTAAATTTATGGGTATTTTACTCTGAATTCTAATGGCCAGGTAATTCTTTCTTTTTTTTTTTCTTTCTGTTTTTGATTCGATAACTACCCAAACCAAACAACTGATACGTACATGGGAAGAGAGGCCCTGTGTGCTCAGTGCCTATCAGTTTGAAATATATACACATATATATATATTTTTTACATATTTACGCCATTTTTACTTGTTATAAAACCACTGAGCTATTGGGAACAAGACTTAGATACAACTCTTTGTGTGGATTCTTTTTTTTTTTTTTTTAAGGCGAAATACACTTGGAAAATACTCTGTTCTAGTGATGATTTGGGGAATATGTGCACGCTTGTTCAGCCTTAATGTGACTTGATGATGTGGAGGACATCAACTTTGAAAAACTTTCCATGAGAGTGCGTATTTTCTTGAGCAAACTGAAGTATTTCTGGGAGCAAAAACATAGTAATTATACAGTTTCAGTGCAGTAAACCAAACTGTTGAGTCAATTGGAATGTAATTTATTAAACCTCATGTATTTAAAGAGATATTTTTCTTTAAAAGCCAAGTTACTTTCTCATATACAGAATTTTAGAAAGCATGATTTTTTTTTTCATATCATCTCTTCCTCCAAGCATGTTTAATTGAAGAAAGAATTAATATCTCTTTAGATAAGCTTTTACTGACTTAATTTGGTTATGATATTTCAAAGCTATTTGTGTTCAAGGTGAGCTGTTTTACCTACCAGCAGATTTCCTGGTTGGGTATATAAATGGTGATTTTCTTTTTATGGTTGTTAACTGGGACATTCTGTTAATGAGAAGCACTATCCCCAAGATGAATAGTATTCCATGCACAGTGAAGCACCTAAGCACTGCTTGATGTTGCAAATTTAAAACACGGAAGTGAAGGTTTAGCTTTGGTTTTTGTACGGCACCACAGTTATGTCAATAAAGATTATTTAGGTCATAGAATATCCTGAAGTATCACATAGTTAAAATTTTTCAGTCAATGAAAACTGGGAGGGAATGTCAGTGAACTGGCTTGAATGTTTTGTGGCAATCCACAGGCCTGGCCAAATATTGAAGTAGAGTTTAGGATATAATTTGCCTTGTGATGTTTGGCAGTCATTGTTTATACTTTAAAGGTTATATTTTAAGCTCTTTGGGATTTGCTGTTGGAAGGATCACTAGACTTATGGAGGAATTAGTCACAAATTGACTTGTAGAAAATACTGTCATGTAGTTCATTTCATCTTTTTCTGTTGCAGGAAGCCACTCCACCACAGAATGCTAATATGCCAGTGGTACCCAGTACCTCTTGTATATAGGTTATTGCAAATATTGTTCTGAAATGCTTAACTTCAGAATTACATTTTTTAAAGTAAATAATTGTTTAAATCTATTTTGTAAAGATATAAAGTACAATAGAATTTCTGGAGTACAGATTAAACTATTTGCACTAACACACGTGATGTGCATGATTTAATAAAATAACTTTACTCTCCCTATGCATTTTTGAGTTGGATATCATTTAAGTTCTTAGTACTGACTCTGCTATTGTGTTATTAATTGTTTTTTCTTGAAATGACTCTTTATGCAACATAATATATGTTTGGTGTTCTTCAGGGTTTAAAAGAAAATGCTGAGCTGTTTCCTCCAGGTTTTATTAGCCTTTTATTTAACTTACTGGTCTTTTTCCCCCACCTTTTACCATGGTTATTGTTAAAATGTGACTCACTTGCCAGACAAGTCTCTTTAAATGTAAAGTCTAGTATCAATATTTACTTTATTCAAATTGAATAAATGGGTTTTTGTAGTTACTGCCAGTTTTCCTTAAGAATATAAATGAGCCTATTCATAAGCAGTACCCCCAGTTTTGTTCAGTTTACATTCAGGTTATATAAAGAGTAGGATTATTCACTGGTAGTGATAGAGTCTTTAGGAAATTTTAATCCTAGCAGTCAAGAATTGAACGACCCTGTAACACATTTAAAAATTACAGTAAGGTGCTAGACAGTTGGGTCAGAAAATGAAAAGAAGGTTGTATTCAAAGCTAAGCAGATCCTTATTGGCCTCCTGGCTCTCCCTTTTATCAGCTGTGTTGCCTTAGGCAAATTATTCTGTCTTCTATGAGTTTCTATTTCATCATTTATAAAATGGAAAGAATAATACCTATATTTTTAGTGATATGAAAATGAAAAAGATAATGTATGTGAAGTGTCCTTTGAGTGGTAAATAACACTGCAGATATTTAAGTTTTAGGTGAACCAGTACAGATGTTTAAAATGAATTGAATGATTCATCTGTTGAGACTTTATGTGTGAATGGGATGGAACTGCAATGGAATGACTCCTGAGAAAGCATCAAGCTCTGTTCATCCCTTTTATAGTTGTGTCTCTAGGAAGTAACATGCATAGTTTGACAATGAGCCAATTGCTTACAACAGTTTGGAATTCCTGTTGTGACTGCCTTCAAGAGCAGTTCTGAGTCACATATGAAAACCCGTCACACTGCTGCATAATCAGAGGCTTTCAACCAAAAATAGTATTGCCTAGCTTGAGCACTCACTTTAATCACCAGACTTGACCCCCAGTGACTTTCCGCTGCTTCCAGTGGTTACATCTAGTGTCAGAAGGATGGAAATCTGTTACCAAAGGGGAAAAAAACTGCATACAAATCAACAATGTTAAAGATGCACAGCCTTCCTCCCAGAAAGTTCATGTCTGGAAGTTTATTCTGAGGACATAATTGTGTGTTTAAAATTTACTACCAGGACATTTAGAGTAGCATTTGTCTGTAATAGTGATGGATAAACTACCTAAATATCCAGCAGTGGGTTATTAGTTAAATAAACTAGTATTGCCACCCAGCAGATTGCTGTGCTTGCAAAGTGTGTGGGAATAGATTCATACTATATTAAGTAAAAGAAGGAGTGTAGAATAACCTTGGGGGGGAAAGTATAGACATACAGAATATGCTTATAGCAGGAGGACTCAGAACGATCTTGTACCCAGGCTATGCACCAGTGCTTCTGACTGTATGATTGAGGGTCAATTCTTTTCTCTTTTTATGATTTCTGATTTATTTTTAGCAGTAACTATATGTTGTTTTTGTAAATGAAAAAGCTATTTGGTTTTGTTTTAAATTGGAAACAAAAAGAATTCTGCAGAATTTTAAATGGCTTTTTGTAATTGAATGAGTAACTTGTTATGGTACTTAGGTTTAAAGGAGTTGATGTTCATTTGCACTTACAGATTCTGGTGTGTTCATTTAAAAATTAGTCTTACAATTTTAAACATGCTCTGTGCAGATAGGTGTATGTAGAGCTAGAATACTGGGAAGAGGTCTTAGCAATTTGTTCTTAGCTTTTTGCCTATCCAGGAGAAAACCCAGAGAATTTTTGACTCTCGGTAGTAACTACAGATAAGTTTTAAAGTTAGGATGAAGACGATTCCTTTTTTGCTACTCCATATTGTGCCTGCGTGCTTTACCTGTTTTATATCCATTCATTTATAACTACTTTTTGAGTGTCTGATGTGAGACACTGTGCCAGTCCTGCCAGTACTGTTTCTATTGCCAAAGAGCTTTTGGCGTGAAGGAGAAATACAGGCGGGGAGGCTGGCAGTCCCAGTCTAGGGTGCTAAAGGAAGACATAGGAGCCTGTGGAACCATAGAGAAGGGGTGCGTTTCCTCTCACCTTCCACCGTCCAGCCCAGGGACATCTGGTCACAGAGTCAAAGTAAGTTTCCCTTTGAAGCAGTCTGGGGAACAGGACTGGTTTCTCTCGAGGTACCTGGATTTACAAACCACTGAGATCTGAGATTGATTTTCTTAGAATAGGAGAGCATGTTTAAGGTTTTATGTTACTATCCTGGAGTTTTGCCCTGTTAAATGGTTTGAACTGTACCTTGCAGCTATTGAAGGATTTAAATTTTTAGGTGTGCAGCATTCTAATTCAACATCTATGTACACTAGAAAGTGATGACCATCCCAAGTCTAGTTACCATCAATCATCGCCATACACTTAACCCCCTTTACCCATTTTGCCCAACCCACTTACCCTCTGGTAACAACTGACCTGTTCTCTGTATCTGTGACTTTGTTTTTGTTTTACTTTGTTTGTTCATTTGTTTTATTTTTTTTAGATTCCACGTATGAGTAGTATACTTTCTCTGTCTGACATTTCACTTACATAATACCTTCAAGTTCCGTCCATGTTGTTGCAAATGTTACTGCATGTTGTAACATTCTTTGTTATATTCCACTGCACACATATACCATATCTTTATCCTTTCATCCATCAGTGGTGACGCTTAGGTTGTTTTCATATCTTGGCTATTCTAACAGTGCTGCAATGAACATAGGGGGGCATGTATCTTTTTAAATTAGTGTTTTTGTGTTCTTCGAATAAATACCTGGAAGTGGAATAGCTGGGTCATATCGTAGTTCTAATTTAGATTTAATTTTTTGAAGACATTCCATACTGTTTTCATAGTGGCTACACCAGTTTTTTCAGTACTCCCAATAGTTGACTCTTTGCGACCCCATGGACTGCAGCACACCAGGCCTCCCTGTCCATCACCAACTTCCGGAGTTTACCCAAACTCATGTCCTTTGAGTCGGTGATGCCATCCAATCATCTCATCCTCTGTCCCCTTCTCCTGCCTTTGGTCTTTCCCAGCATCAGGGTCTGTTCCAGTGAGTCAGCTCTTCACATCAGGTGGCCAAAGTATTGGACTTTCAGCTTCAACATCAGTCCTTCCATTGAACACTCAGGACTGATCTGCTTTAGGATGGACTGGTTGGATCTCCTTGCAGTCCAAGGTACTTTCAAGAGTCTTCTCCAACACCACAGTTCAATTCTTCGGCGCTCAGCTTTCTTTATAGTCCAACTCTCACATCCATATATGACCACTGGAAAAACCATAGCCTTGACTAGATGGACCTTTGTTGACAAAGTAATGTCTCTGCTTTTTAATATGCTGTCTAGGTTGGTCATAAATTTCCTTCCAAGGAGCAAGCGTCTTTTAATTTCATGGCTGCAGTGTACAAGGGGTCCCTTTTACCTGTATCTTCTCCACGTTCATTATTTCTTTTCAGTAATAGCCATTCTGGCAGGTGTGAGGTAGTATCTCACTGTGGTTTTGATTTGCATTTCCATTATAATTAGTAATGTTGAACATCTTTTCATGTTCCTATTGACCATCTGTGGATCTTTGGGAAAATGTCTGTTCAGATCCTCTGCCCACTTTTTAATTGGGTTGTTTGGAGTTGCTTTGTTGTAGTTGTCACAGAGGATATTTTTTCTTAAAAAGGGGAAAGTGCCTTAGTCTGGGCCATGGATTGGATGGAACCAATAAACCCTTGCACATGAAGGCAATCAGCATATCTTGTTACATGTGTTTACAGTGCTGCTCATTTAGCAGATGGACCAGCTCCATATTCCTTCCAAAAGGTTTCAGCCCAGATCTTAGATGATTTGTTACCCTGTTATGCAAGGACACTGAGATAAAGCCTATGAAAAAGACAAGAACATTCAGAATAAAAGCAGAAGGGACTGGGGCCTGAAAGGAACTTTTTCTGGATATGCTCCCAACTGTCCACACTTGCTGTTCACTTTATCTTTTCATTTTGACCTCTAGAGTTGGCTAGAGTACATCTAGGTAGCCAGATTTCATTTAGCAGAGATTCAGACTTCTATGAAATTACATCCTAGTGGATTTGTTTTAATCCTAAATTTTTCTGTATTTCTCTGATTTTTGTTCCACATAGAATTTGAAGCAGGCATGTGTGCTTGGACAGCATATTTTTCCCTCTTAAATGGCAGGGTTCTGTTCCTGCTGGGCTGAGAAGGCTTCCTCGTGGTGGGCTGTTAAAGCAGATGAAGGAACACCAAAGGCACTTAAGAAACCTCGACCGTTTCCACTTCTTGAATCACAGGTTTCCGCTGTAAATTACTTCACTGTTCATAAATCTTTGCGTACTTATACCATTCTGGTTTTGGTTGAAAACTTGCTCTGAGATAATTAGCCTATGCTTATTTAACCTCCCTCATTCCCGCCATTCCTTAGACTCCATAACTAAATTCAAAGAGTTCGTGTGTTTTGGATATTTTTTACTGTCTGAGCCACCAGGGAAGCCCTTTGGGATATTTTTAACCAAATTTTTCTTTTCCTCTGTGTACATAGAGCTGATCACAGTTTCTTCTACAAACAAAATTCGGTGTAGTTTGAAAGTTGGACATTTCTGATTTATTACTTTATGTAGCTAATAAAATCACAGAAATTCATGAGAAGAGTTGATTTAGTCATGTAATTTTAGTCAAAAAAAAAAGCTTTGTATTTTAAATACTTTAGCCAAAAAATTAGGTGGTGAATTATATATGTGCTGTGTCCACATAAGCCCTCTCTTTGTGAAGTGAGACTATATTGTGAAGAAGAGTACATACTGTGATAGTACTGAGAGTAAACAACACCTTTGGCCTGCTTAGATCATCGGTCTTTGAGTA